GTTACTAGATGTAGTGAGTTGATGAAAATTCAATAGAGGAGGGCATTGGCAGAGATATGAGTGCTCTCAGATGCAGAATGATTAAGTAGCACAGGAATTAGAAAGATACCATCTGAAGTGAATTTAGCAGCTAACCCCCTTTGCTTGTTGGCTGTGTAAATGTACAGAGACATACATGCGTATACGATCGTTCACTAAGAAAAAAGGGTTAAGGTACAAATCTTTATGAGAGCATCATCATTAGTGTTGAGGAGCAATTTTGTTGTTTTCAGTTGTCGCATGGATGAGTTAGTGGTTCTGCGTGTTAGTTATTAAATGGCAGATTCAGCTACTCAAACCTTAGCCTTGTACATTGATGTAATGCTCATGGTCTTCTTGTAAGAAGAGATTAATGTTGCCAAAGTGATCTAGATATATATTGCTCCTCCACTCCAGTGGCTTCTGTAATTTAGCCTGGCAACTTTAGCTGGTCTGTTAGCCTTCCAAGTTTCATTCACAAACCATATTGAGGTATTGAGGATTATACTAATTGGTCTTTCGAGCTATCGTACCCTGACTACATGTAAGCATGTTAGATTCGAACTGTTGTCGAATCCATGTTGTCAAGGAGCATGTGCCATCATCTTGTACTTAGTGGTCAAAGGGTACGCAAGTTTATCTAAAATTTTTCTTATTCAGATTTGTTTGCTTCAAAGCTACTCTTAATTATGAAGTACAGCTGCACTGTGTCTTCACAAAAGTAGTTGCAGGACTTGTGTGCTCGGTAATTAAAAGGCTTTGTTAATCAGAGTTTGCAGAATTCAACAGTCAAGATTAGAATTCCTTTCTGCCATGTTAAATATATCCTAATGCTAGTTGCATATTATGACTAGTTCCTCAATTTTTAAACTGAGCAGTTAACTTATGTTCTGCTAATTCAAGTTGGATCTGTTAATTGACTCTCTTATTTTCTTCCAAGCTGGTAGTACAAAATATGTAACTGCATAATTATTTGGCTTGTGACTGTAGTCACTGATCAGTTAGCTCCATGATGTTTGCAACAACTTGGCAGGTGCAGTAGGAGCATATTCTTCGATAATTTTATCTGAAATGTTGCTTTCATGCGCTGCATCGTCTTGTATGTCTCCATGACTTTGATGTCTCGGACATACTGTTAGTTAACCTTCCTTTCCGTTTTCTTTTCAGTTGTACCGGCCCTTCTTCCTCTGGAGTCCAGGCTATGTGATTCCTGGAGCTATGGAGGACTTGGAGCCCACTGAAGATTGCTACCTTCCTCTATTTACAAGCCGTGTAGCGATCCTACTGCCTAGATTTGTTTTGTGTGATTCCTCACAATTTAGTGGAAAATTCAATCCTTGATGTAAGACATGCACCGAACTTGTAAATGTCAATTTCAGTGTGATTCACCTGGCAGCTAAACTAAACTGTGTTCAGCTATAAAATACTCTAATCCTTTATGCTTGTGCGTGTATGCTGTAGTCATTAATAAGTCTGAAGTTCTTGATGCAACATACATCCAGAGCAGAAAGAATGCAACCCTTTAGTGCAGCAGAATTACCTGATACACCTACTTGGTGTGTTACATTTAGCGCCGCAGGTGAGCACAATATCTGCCGCGGCAGGATCCCCAAATATCCGTTGATAACATGAACCCGTTACCGACGCCTCTGAAACAAGAAGCAAAGTGATGCTCTGCTTAAGCATCACCTAATTTAGAGGTAACTTTATTTTTCTCTAAATTCATTACGGCGCCATGATGTTACAACTCCAATTAACAAAATGTTACTCGTATTGTCTCAATCCCGGTAGTTGCCAGCTCATTTGCAGAGCCCGAGTGAAACTTACTTAAGACTGTCTTCAACAACCATGACTCAAATTACGAGACCCATTCGTCCTTTGGGTAGCACTACAGACAAAATGTTCAATATCTATTTTTGGTCTTCTCTAACAACAAGATCCAAAAGATAACCCTTCGTACAAATAGGTCTCAAGAGAGAGGATACTCAAATTTGAGTTATGTCTTTCCTAACACCCAAAATGTAGGTTACATATAGGTACTTTGTTGGAGGTCATAGATATTGTATTGGAGAACTATTTTGGATTTGGTTCCGCAATAGGTCGCCGAGACGGCCTTTACTTACATGATAACTAAGGACTACGGAATGTATCATAGAAATTAAAAGAGAACCCTCACATTTGCCTCAGCTGCAGGGCCAATATTTCCATTAATCGAATACACAGGCCAAGAATAATAATCTGCCTAGGGAACGAAGGTTCAAGCTCGAATGTCTGTGTAACCAGAGATTGCCAACAAATTCAACTAAAAGAAGCTAGACAAGCTAAATCACAAGAGATATACGTGATAGGTGCATCCAATGTACTAACACACAGTAGTAGACAGCTCTAATACTACTGACACAGGTCATTGTGTTCATGAATCTTCAATTGACAGATGCAGCAGCAGCAGATACTCTTTAAAAGTTGGGAAAGAATTGAAAGCTCAAGGCGGATGCGTGGAGCTGAAGCTTGGCCATAGCCTACGACGCTTGCTTGCTCGCCTAGACCTGGAGGCTGGAACTGGAGCCGACGACCCGAGCTGGAGCAGCAGCCGCTGCCGCTCACCTCGGATGCGCGTGCGCCGACGCCCGAGCTGGAGGCCTGGAGCAGCTGCCGCCAGAGCTGGACCAGAGCTCTGGCGCCGGTGAGCCCCCGCGCGCTAGGAGAGGGAGAGAGGTGCGGAGCCTGCCCACCGGGGGCCGCGCGCTGGTGAGCCCTGCGTCGCCGCCTGCCTCGCCGCCCCCCAGGTCGCCGGCTCGACGATAAACGAGAGAGAGAGAGAGAGAGAGAGAGAGAGAGAGAGAGCGGAGGAGATGAGAAGCAGATCATGTGAGATGAGAAGCAGTCTCTTTTCTGGATTCAGAGAAGCAGCTCGTGAGACAGTCAAAATACTGTTATATCCTTCAAATTTGTTTAGAAACTAGCTTCAGGTCCACACATTTTTTTTTATTCCGACCCATCACTTAAGTTCCTCCTATCTAGTTCTTCTGGAACTGCTAGCGCCCGGACGTCCGATCTGGGCGCTAGCGTCCGGACGCTCGCGCTGCTGCCCCTGCATGTGCGCCCGCCCGCAACCAAACCGCTCCCCACACGCATGCAAGCTTCCATCGGATGCCCCCACGCACGTCCCGAAACGCCCACAACTCGCGCTCCCGCACCTCATCCCCATCTCCATCCGTTTGCCTCGCCCCCGCAGGAGATCCCACCGCGCCGCCCGTCCCCCAGCCATCCCACCGCACCGCCCGTCCCCCATCCCGCCGCACCGCCCGTCCCCGCCATCCCGTCGTGCTGCCCATCCCCCCGCCACGTCCACGCTAGGTGTGTCGCATCCTCACCGCGCTTCCATCAGAAAAATTATTTGCAATATCAAACAAAGCGCAATGCGAGATCAAACATCAGAACAAGTCTACTGCAACATCAGAACAAAAGCGACTGCAACAAAAAGAACAAAGCTACAGCAATGCGAGATGCAACATCAGAAAAAAAAACTAATGAAACAAAGAAAAATTACTTGTTGCAACAGCAAACCAAAGCTACTGCAACAACAGAAACAAATCGCAATGCGAGATGCAACATCAGAAAAAAAGATTAATGCAACCAAGAAGAATTACTCGTTGCAACAGCAAAACAACACTACTGCAACAATAGAAACAAAAAAGGAAATGCGAGATGCAGCATCAGAAAAAAGACTAATGCAACAAAGAAAAATTACTTGTTGCAACAACAAACCAAAACTACTGCAACAACAGAAACAAAACGCGATGCGAGATGCAACATCAGAAAAAAAAAGACTAATGAAACCAAGAAAAATTACTTGTTGCAATAGCAAAACAAGCCTACTGCAACAGACCTCGTTAGAACCCTAGCCACCGCTGCATCCTTCAGATCTAGATCCAGATCCTGATCTAGAGGAGGAGGAGGAGGAGGAGGAGAAGAAGGATGATAGCTCAGATCCAGAGGAGGAGGAGGGCTAAGATCCAGAGAAGAACCCACCTACCTCGCCGGAAGCCGCCGCCATCGCCCTCCTCTCCGGTGGCACGGAGGTCGCGGAGCGAGGGAGGGAGTGAGTGAGGGAGGAAGCGCGAACAGGCAGGGCGGCAGCGAGCTGGATGCAAGCATGGCGTCCGTCTCGGAGAGCAGCAGGAGCGCGGAGGAGCGGAGAGGGGGAGCGGGCGAGTGGAGCAGAAAGTGGGCGCGGGGGTCACGGGGGACGGGATGGGAACGGATAAGGAGCCGGGGGTCGCTCGCTCCTCAGTCGAGTCTTATCTGACACGCGTCCAGAACGTCGGACGTTCGAGTCGAAGCATTACCGTATTTTTAAACCATCTGAGAGGGCTCTTATTATTTCCAAGCGTAGTAAAATTTCACTTATCTTGCTATTTCTAGTAGCTTCTACAGCTAATAAAAATCAGTCATTATTCCTTTCTCGCAGGGAAAAAATAAGCCCGTCCCTGTGTATAAATATGCATCAGATACAGTGCTAGCTCTTTCAGCCAAATCAGAAGCAACAAACAGGCTAGCAGCACACACTAGTCTACTGCACTGCACGTCTGCCGATCGGTATTCGGTATTCCTATCCTTGGCTCGACTGGATTGCACGATGGACTCATATGTATTTACGGACTCCGGTCCGAAGCATATGATGGTGAAAATTGGGTCGGGTTCTTCTCCGGCGACCATGATAAACGTTAACTGGTATGAGCTTATTGGTAGTAGAACAGACATGGCAATGCACTGTACGTCTTGATATGACATGGCGTGCTGCGCTGTTAACTGTTGGGTTTGGTGCATGTCTACCTTTAATTTTATTTCACGTACGTATGCATCAGTAGGCAGTAGCATTGCGTTGCCGACGATTAACGACCGCGTTTTATGATTTCATCAGGGACAGCCACGAGCACCGCCGCTGCATCGCCGCCTGCATCGTTAATGGGACTTGCGCCATGGAGAGCGACGAGTACATGAACAGGACGCACACCGGCGAGGCGCTCGCGCCGGCGTGGTGGGAGAGCTTCAACTTCCGGCGGCTCAAAACGCTCAGGTACGAATGCGAGTGCCTGCTCTGCGAGACCAAGACCAGGCTGTCCTCCTCCTTCGGAGCCCACCGGCCATGCTCCATCTACGGAGCCATCCTAGAGCACGTGCCCCCGGCCGGCGGCGCGCTCCGCCACCCGTCGGCTCCACGCTACATCGTGGCCTTCCGGGGAACCATTCTCCGGCGGCACCAGCACCAGCCAGTGGCGAAGCTACGCTGTAGCTTGTGGGTTCATATGCACCCATAAAAATTTGAAAACCCAATATTAGGATCAAACTTTCACCATGTTTGCACGTTAATTTTTCACAAATACAAAAGAAGCGCACCACCCTCTAATTTGCTCTAGCTTCGCCGCTAGCACCAGCACGAGCAGCAGCAGCAGCACACGGTTTTCGGCGACATGCACCTGAACCTCCGGATACTTGCCAACAAGCAGCACGGCTGCGACCGCTTCCGCGACGCCCGTAAAGAGGTTGGCAGGCTCCTGGACTCCGTCGCCGACGGCAGCCATGTCGCCCCCGCCGCCGTCTGGCTCGTGGGCCACTCGCTCGGCGCGTCCATCGCACTGAACGTCGGGCGCGACATGGCCGCCAAGGGGTGCTACCTCCCGACGTTCCTCTTCAACCCGCCGCAGGTGTCGCTGGCGCCCAGCATGCTGCCGCAGGCCCTGCGGAGGGTCGCCAAGAGGGTCGTGTACCCGACGAGCTACGCTGTGAAGGCGGCGCTGGGGTCGACGGTGCTGAAGCGACAGGAGAGGGACATGGAGCCGCGCTGTTCCAGACGCTGGCGCCGTGGGTGCCCGAGCTGTACGTCCACGAGAGGGACATCGTCTGCCAGGGCTTCATCGACTACTTCGAGCAGCGGCAGAAGATGCTGGACCGGCTCCGGCCCGTCGCCGAGGTGGCCATGAAGCTGTCTCTCCGTGACATGCTCATATCCTTTCACAGCACCGACCCCGCCGAGAGCGGCGAGGACCAGCGAGTGCGCCCACACCTCTTGCCGTCGGCGAGGCTATGGAAGAATTCGAGCTACCACTACGCGCACGGACTTGAGCAGTGGTGGAAGCCTGACAACGAGCTGAGGTTGAGCTCCAGGCGATACAGCGATCGTGGAGCTGAGGCAGAGCTTCTCTATGGTTAACGGTACCGTGAGTGCAATGCTAAAATGTGTAACTGTGATTCTTATGTCCTAAGTCCAAAAATTTGGTACTACTAAGTAATGATTCTCTTGGGTACGTACCTCTTTACGGACAGTAAAAGATTTTATGAATAAGATGCTCTGTAATTTTGTCCTGGGTCGCTTCAAAATCCATTAAATGCAAGGTGCTTCATCTTTCTTGGGGGATATCTTGTGCAAATCTCCCATGATAATTATAGGATATGGTTTCAAATATCATGACTTTTTACATCGTTTGATCAAGTCCTGGAATTTTACCGTCTCTCTTCCATAGATTTGAACCCGCAATCCTGCCCCCCCCCCCCCCCCCCCACACACACACACACAAAATCTGAATTTTGGTGGATTTAGATTTCGTGGAGCTAAGACATTTGCCTTGGAAATGTGAAACTCGTAGAATTTTGAGCTTTTTAATTCCACTATCTCATTAGATGATTAGAATCGTTAGGACTAAATCAACCACTCGTGGAAGAACTTTTTATATATACAAAAGTACAAAACATACAGCTCCAGCGAGGAACATGAATATTACACCGAGGCACACTATTGTGATTCTCATCATAGCAATGCTAACAGAAAGATAAAGCTGTACGTAAATAACATACCAAGCATCCTCCGAAGGAATTGACAAGCAAAATTGGAGCCAACACCTATTGTAAGACGGCTCCTTGTTTCCGGAGGCAAGTGGGTCTTGAAAGCTCCTTTCCATCCCAATCGCCTCTTAATCGGCATGAACAGGAACCACAGCTGCCAGCTAGAAGGGTTGCGAAGCAAGAGCGTCATGAACGTAGACATGCAGACCACAATGGCAATCCGCTCGCTGACAGGGCTCAAGACGACATATGCGCCCAATGCGAACCCTATAACCATACTTCTCGTTGCCTGCTCCATCGAAATTACAGAGAGGAACATGGAGATTGCACGAAGCAGTGGATGGACGTGTTCTGACCCAGCATAGGTGAGCCAGATGGTGGACAACGTGGAGCCGACAAATGCGAGTGTGTTTGCCATCACGAACGCCTTGAAGGTATACCTGTGCGACAGAATTGGTGCACCGGCATGTGGATACCCATCCGATATGTAGCCACCAGGCAGAGTGAAAACTGCTGCAAACGTGACCGTTGAGACAAGGACAGACCCAACAATTAAGTTCTGTGCAATGTTGGTGAATTTCTTGAACTCGTTTCCAGAAGTTCTGCCAACGCCAAATTCATCTATGAAATGATCGAGGCGACGAGGACTAAGGACAGCTCCAGTCCATGCCAAACAGCGGAGTATGATGACCTGAGGATTCTACCAGAACAAAATCAACATTTCAGGAAATCAAACTATACAAGTTAAAAACTGAAATAAATTTAAAATCGACCGAGAACATGAATTAGAAGATGCAAAGAAGAATGCAGTCCTAGGAGATTAGGTGAGGCTTACCAGTGTATAACTTATGCCTTTGTCAGTTGCCAGTACAGCAAGATCTAAGGCAGTGAAGCCCTGGTTGTTCACTGTATTTGGCAGTACACCTTTTGTCGCCATAAGAAGGCTCACTATCATCTGGTCTGCATTCTTGACTGCAAGATGCAGAGGTGTGTTGCCTTCTGAATCCATGACATTCGCCATCCTTCCAAGATCTTCAGTACCAGAGAAACACCAAACAACTTTCCATTTCTTATGCTCAATAGCAATATGTAGGAAATTTCTTCCTCTACTGTCAAGCAACTCGTCACAATCTGGGCAGAATTTACAGAGCTCGTAGATGAATTGTCCGTATCCCATTTTAGCAGCAATATGTACAGGAAATAAACCATTTGAATCTGAGCTGTAGGCTAGAGAACTGTCACGGCGCAATAAGAGCTTCATTGCGGAAATATTTCCAACAGATGCAATGTAGTGAAAAGGAGTACTGCCTGAGTCATCAACTTCTTTCACAAGAGCTTGGTTCCACTGCAGCAATTCCCGTATCATTTCTGTTATGAAAGAACTTCAGTAAATAGAAAGTATAAGACCTGAAACACTATCACTCTTAAGAAAAAAAAATATATGCACTCCCTATGGTCTTATAATAAGGATTGAATGAAGGCCCATGATCTGGCAGGCCTTTTTTTCTATAAAGCTTTATGGACCTCAAGGTACATCATCTAGCACTTGAGGGCCAAATCTTACCTAATATTTCTTAAATACAGATGAAAAACATAAATGACAGAGAAGTGAATTTAACCAGAACATGTGCTAGGGTGTCAAGTCATCAAATTCCACCAAAGCTCCCATGAGGGCAGATTTTTCTAACTCTCCTGATGCATGTCCAACAAAATTCTAACCCCAACGCCATTGGTCACTCAGCGCCATTGATGATGTTAAGTCTTTAACCTAATTAACACTTCATGCAAATAGTTGAAACAGGCATAGATAGGCCAGATAAGATGCTGCACTTTATCACCGCGGCCTATTAGAATTAGAAGGTATGCATTATTCCCATATGATTAATTCAAGTACACCTTTTCCCACATAATATTAGTAATAATGATTTGTTTTGAGCTTTTACAAAAGAAACATATTTCATACATGTCCACAAAACCAACCTAGTAATTAAGGCAGTCAAAGGTGCCCAGTAAAGAAGAGAAGCACAAAAACAAAAGTAATTGATCAAATATGTCATCAATTTATATGGGGCTAACCCTAGGAGTCATCTTACAAGGAGCCCACTGTGCAAATTAAACAACAAGCCTTGCTTGTAGAGAGGTTTTAATAATATTGGACAGAGTGATGTTATCACCTAATAATATTGGACTAAAAGGCTTTGTTGTTGGATAGATTGCTATAAGTCATTTTTTTTATCAAAAATAAATAAATTCATACTCATGCCTCATATTCAAATATATACCCTCCATTTCAAATTATAATAAGTCGTTATGGCTCTTATAGATGCATAGCTTTTATTATGTATCTAGACACAGCCTATATCTAGTGCATAGCAAAAACAATGTGCCTAGAGAGGCTAGAATGACTTATAATTTAGAACGGAGGGAGTAACTAGATGTATTTCAAGATTTACACAAATATTTTTTTTACACAATTTTCTTTCGGGACTTTAAATCTAAATTGCAAGAGACCTAACAATAATGTCATCATGAAAACTATATTTGATACATTATGATTAGTTTTCGACACAACTGGTTTATGTTTTCTAAGGTGCAATTAAGTGTTATATTACTTTTGTCAAGTTACTTTTTCTCAATAGAACCACCCGCAGTTTACTACAGAGTAGTACTACTTAAACCGTAGTCCCGCCATGTCCATGATTACACATATTCATTTCAGCAAGATTCTTGACGTGTACCTTCCTTTCTCTTTTGTGTCATGATTCACATATGGGACAGTAGAAGTAATATAAAATTGGGTGCCCTGGCTATTTGATGAGTCCCGACCGCTCACCCAAAAACCAATTATTCGATCAAACACTAAATGTGCATCCCCACATAGTCTGATTCACAGCACACTAATCACTCTGTTGTCAAGACAACCCAAACAAAAATCTCTATCACTAGATTACAGGTTACATCAATTTCAAATGTTCGAGTTTAGATAATGTACACTAACGTTCATAATACAGTGAACATGAGTCATCACATCAAACAGAGACTCAAATCGTCCAACTCATACTCCATTCACTTGCTTTAGAAGAAGTGGCATCCTCCCTTTAACAAAGTAAGATATGAACTGCTAAATTCCATACAATCCAACCACAGTATAGTCCAATCATTCTACCCAAAGAAGCATTTCCAGATTTTTCACAAGCTTCCCACGGTACATCAAACCCCCAAAGGAAAAAGTCTACATAGCCCCCTGACGTATCTAGGATGGTCTACATGACCCCCTGGACTATAAAACCAGGTATTATACACACTAAACTTTGTAAAACTGGTCAAATACCCCCCCTGGGGTGGTATTGAAAGGTGGTTTTGCTGGTTTGGCAATCCACGTTGGCAAGAATTGACACTGTGATACATGGGCCCGCCTGTCAGCCTGCTTGAGTCACCTCTCCTCTTCTTTCATGCCGTCGTGGCTTCTGTTCGGCGAAGGGAGGGGATGGTGCCTGCGCACAGGCCCGCCCGTCACCGGTGCCCACGCACAAGGCAACGCACAGGGCAGTCGTGGTGCCCACACACAAGGCAGCACAGGCAGGTGCGATGATATATGTGCTTGCCGGGACCGGGCTGGGTGCGGCGCTGCTGCTGGCGCTGGGGCCGGTGTATGGCACGACGCGTGCGGCAGACGAGGGGTACGTGCATGCGCATCCTCGAGGAGATGGACACCGCCGGCGTGCGCATCCCAATTTCCTTTCCCCAGCTCCTTTCCCTCTACCGAGTAGAGCAAAGCACCCGACGCGCGGCCGACGGCCAAAATTCAGCCGGCGACGGCAGAGAGGGTACCCATGCCCCACACCTATGCGCACACGTGGGTGGTCCCAATTTGGCCGGAGGTAGGCCGGGGCGGTCGGGTCACATGCCTTGGCGGGCACGGTTGGGGGCGTCGACGGCGCACGCGGTAGATGGCCAGGAACGGTGGCGGCTCGACTCGAAGAGGAGCGCGACAGGTGCAGCGTGCTACGAAGGAGGCCATGGGGACCTCGGCTGGAGCAGAGGAAGGGCAGAGAACGGTGCTCACCGAGCTGAGCATCTTGCGGCCGCTAACGGACAGCGAGCTCGGGCGGCGACGAGAGTCGGGCTGCCGGCGGTGTCCTCCCGCGGCCGGTTAGGGGCCTCCTGCGGCCGATGCTGGTGCCGTGCTACGACCTGGCCATGGCAAGGCCGCTCCGCCTCCGGGAGCTCCCGGCTCCGCGGCCATGGTGGAGGCGCGCTCCTACGACGAGGCCATGCCCAGGTACACGTACGAGCGTGCAGCAGGCGGTCGCCTTCGTTCTCCTGGGTGGGCGAACAGTGGGCAGCAACGGCGCGGCGCAGAAAAACAGCGGCAGCAGGCCGCTCCCATGCGAGCGGCAGGAGACCAGCAGCACCCGCGCGCTTGCTCTCTCTCTCCAGCAGGCGCCCGGCACCACGCGCATGCAAGCAGCAGCCTGAACGGCAGCAGGCACAAGCCTCCGCATGTGCCTCTGCTCCTGTGCTTGCGCAGCCAGCTAACGCGGCAGCGGCGCCCCTCTATGGTGAGCCCCTAAGAGGAGAAGACTCACCCACTTACAAGCGGGTCTCACTTGTCAGTCGTCCACGTCAGCATCAAAGTCAACCTCAGCGCGCCAGCGTGGCAAAACTGCTATGCAAAACCACCATAGGGGGTTATTTGAACAGTTTTGCATAGGTTTGGGGGTGAAGTAGGTCAGGTTGCAATAGGTTTGGAGGTTACGTAGACTTTTTTCAACCCCAAACATAGTAAACTAGAATAACTAAATCTGACAACCTAGATATTAAATACACTCCAAATTGCTCATTAATTCATCACAAACATAGCACCATAAACTAGCAGTCAGGAGGGACTCACCATTGCTCGTGAGCACAGCGGCGTGCATCACGGTACGGCCGCCCGGACCCATGCTCGAACCTAGCCCGGGCACCTCCTCCTCCTCCGCGTCCCTATATGTCTTTAAGAGCACGCGCACCATCCCCAGGGACCCGGCCGCCGCCGCCATGTAAAACGGCGACTCCCCAGCGCCGCCGCACAGCCCCACGAGCCCCGGGTCCGCGGCGGCCAGCGCGCGCGCCGCGGCCTCGTGGCCGCCCCGCACGGCGTCGTGCAGCGCCGTCTCCCCGCGCCGGTTCGTGGCCCGGGTCAGGGCGCGCAGGGAGCACGCGGGGGAGGACGAGGACGTGGACAAGGAGGCGACGAGGAGCGCGACGACATTGTGCGCCCCCGCGCGCGCGGCGAGGTGGAGCGGGGTGTCGAGCGCGGCGTTGCGCGCCGGGAGGAGGCGCGGGGCGCGGCGGAGGAGGAGCGACGCGAGGTCCGCGTGCCCGCTCGCGGCGGCCACGTGGAGGAGCGTGTTCCCTCCGGCTGTGGCCGCGGTCTCGAGGTCTGGGGCCGCCGGGTCGGCCAGGAGCGCCTTGACGAGCCGCCGCTCGTCGCCGCTGCGCGCCGCGCGGAGAAGCGTGTCGCCCATGGTCGGCGGTGTGGTTGCCAGCGGGCGCGGGGTCGGGCAGGGGGACGCGCTGGTGGTGGGCGTGGACGGCGGTGATGTCTCCGCCGCCTCCGGCGAGGCCATCGTGTGGCTCGTGCGGGCGGGCGTCGGTGGTGGTCTGGTGGAGCAGGGGAAAGGTGGTGTGTCATTTGGACTTATTTATGCCTCTGATGACTTGTGAACTGTGAAGTGTATTTGCTTTTCAGTCCTCGTTGATGATGGATAAAGTCCAATTTCTTGTTCTTTGACTTTACATGGAACAAAACGGTCCAATTTCTTGCTCTTGGCTTTATATGGAACAAGGTAGAATAGGAGAATGTGATAGGTTTTTAGTTTCGGAGAAAACATGCTTTTTACTACTAGTATTTACTCTCCCACCCCAAATTATAAGTCATTCTAACTTTCATTGAAGATTTAAAATATCTCAAATTTGACTAAATTTATATAATAAAGTAATAACATTTATGATACCAAATAAGTATCATTAGATTTTTCATTAATTATATTTTTATAGTATATATTATACCTATTTAATGTCATAAATTTTGTAATTCACTCTATAACTTGATATGCTTTAATTCTCCAAGAAAGTTTAAATGACTTGAATTTAGAATGGAGGGAGTAGTAGCTAAGTGAATGTTGAGTTAATTTAAGGCCAAAATTTTCTGTTCCTCGGTTTCTTCTATGAAAATAAATTGATTTTATTGAAATTTTGACCAACCAAAGATGCTCTTAATATTTATTTTATTTGGAGTACAACAAGATATATATGTATTTGGCACCTTTGCATGAAAATGAACGGTGGAAATAGGAAAACATATACTCTCTAGGATATGAAGGCCTTGTTCAAAGCGCAATAAACTTTCACTTTTCCGACAACAAATTGCAAAACATTTATAAGTCAAGCCCCAATTTGTTTATAAGTATACTAATTCATGTGAATGAACGCACACATTTGACATTCCTAATTGATGTATGAAGATCTCCAGCAGACTAGATTGACATATTTTGAGATTGTCGAGCTCATACGCTATAATTGAATTGATTTGTTTTATGTAACTACTATTTATTTATGATCAATTTGACTTTTCTGTTACACTTAAATTTATAGTTGTTTGTACAAAGAAATGGTGTATTCATTATGTCCATAGTTTATCTCAGAAAACAACTAGAGTTTAGATGAAGATTTTTTATGTAAATGTTTTGTTCACAGGGCATACACTTATTTTAGAAATTTAAATGCAAAAAAAAATATGAAATCCATGTTTCCATATTAGTTAGCCAAATATCGAAGCTGCTAAAAGAAACTGCAGCAAAAAAAGATTACAGATTACCACAATCCCCCTCTTGATAAACAGGGTGAGTGCCCAATTGTTAATTAAGAGCTACTTCTCACTATACCACAGCCTATCTTTAGCGTCGCCCTGTGGGTTGTTAAAAGTTGTTTCAGCGACATATGGTCGGTTGTTATATCTCTTTAACGACCATTGCATGTGTCGTTTGTACTGGGTCCTTATAAATCTTTAACGACTGACCGACTTTTAACGACCAACCATCGGACGCTATGTACGAGATATAATGACCGACTATCTAACGTCTATTATAAGTTTATACCGACCCACTGTCTAATGATATATATTTATAGTGACCAATTGTCTGATGCTAGCATAATATGAACTAATTAATCTTATAATAACCATATAGCATCATCCATTTAAACATTATCCATCCAAACTGATGTTGAGCATCAAACACAGAATCGACTAAACCATGCTCACAATTTCCATTAAAGCCATCAACATTTGTACTTGTACAATATTTTATACAAAACACTCACAACCAAGCTAGATCAAAGTATCTACACAAAACATAACCATGCTCACAATCCCTAGCCATTGTCTACACAGGCACAGCCACACAGGACTCAGGCACATGCCCTTTAGGCTTTAGCATCCCAATGATGACATCACTTGTGTGTGCTACTATATAATACGTCCGTTCGATGGTTGGTTTTTGGGCCGATAAGCTCAGCTGGTGCTAGTTTATTATGAGAGAAGATAAGCCCTACACATGCTAATACTTTTAGTAACGAGAGAGCTCCTACACATGCTAGTAAGTAAAAGCACAAAGCTCCTAAGCTCGCTAGCAATGCTCAATAACAAGACAACTAAAACCAAATTAAAGAATAGAGAGCGTAAATATTTAGCTACATAAACTAATCAATATGACCAACAAGGTTACACAAATCAAATTAGCCACGTAAGGGAGCTACTTCTATGCTACACAAGCAAGAAGATAACTAGTGAGCTACATAAGCACAATATATCTGAAAGTAATTACAAGCTTGTGTAACGAGGATGCAAACCAATGGGAAGAACAAAGTTGATACGGTGATTTTTCTCCCGAGGTTCACGTGCTTGCCAACACGCTATTCCCCGTTGTGTCGACCGCTCACTTAGTGGTTCGGCGGCTAATTGGCATCACCCACCAAGCCCGCACATCGGGCACCATAAGAACCTACCCCAAAAGTGATGGTAGCTCAATGATACGCTCTACTAGAGTTGCTCTTCGCGGGTCCCGCGGGGCAAGCTCAATACCCCTCATAAAGCTCTTCTCCGAAGCACCGCACAAGCTTCTTGCGGGCTTTGATGGAGACCACCATCAAGCCGTCTAGGAGGTGGCAACCTCCAAGAGTAACAAGCACCACCGGCTTGCAAGATGACCACCTAGTGCCACTTGATGCAACCTCACGATACAATCGCACTAGAATCGTTCACTCACTCAATTAGATGAACACTATCAAGCTAGAACGAGTTAGAGGGCTCCCAAGCACCACTACATAAGCCACCAAGGCTCTAGTGTGCTAAGCTACCAGCCAAAGGCTGACCACCACTTCTATTTATAGCCCCACAGGCTAAAATAGCCGTTACACATTCACTGGGCATTTTTCGAGATGATCGGACACGCAGGCTGTGTGCACCGGACGCATCTGGTGGGGACTGGTGCGTCCAGTTGCCTGTGTCCGATCGCTGCCTGACCGCCACATGTCCCATTCAAACTAGCCATTGCCGCCAACGGCTCTCTTCTGATATGTCGGATCGGACACATTCGGTGAGCCGATCGGACGCAGGAGGGCCAGTGTCTAGTCGAGTCCAGAGAGCTCCTAGAGCTGCTCAACCACGATCGGACGCGTCCGGTGTGACCGACCGGACGTAGGATGGGCAGCGTCTGGTCGAGTCCAGAGAGCTCCTAGAGCTTCTTAACTCCAACCGGACGCGTCCGGTGTGGCCGACCGGATGCGTCCATGCATCTGGTCCACTCTAGACCAACAATCGTGCTCCACGTCACCACGATCGGACGCTACACAGTGATTGCTCAGCGTCCGGTCACGGCTATGAGCCAGAGTCCGATCACGTCATCAACTTTGCCTGCACCTGGCCAGATTACTGGACGCGTCCGGTATAGATATCAGACGCGTCTGGTCACCCCGTGACCATCACATTCAACTCCTGTTCTTCACCAACTTCTTCACCTTTGCAAATGTGCCAACACCACCAAGTGTACACGACCATGTGTATGTGTGTTAGCTTTTCATAAACATTTTTCAAAGGATTAGCCACTCAACTTGCCACGTCACTCGATTCTAGCGACGATGCAAAGTTAGATCACTCAAGTGGCACTAGATGACCGATATGCAAACAAGTTTGCCCCTCTTGATAGTACGACCATCTATCCTAAATCCGGTCATCAACTTCTCTACACACCTATGACTGGTGAAATAAAATGCCCTTGGTTATACCTTTGCCTTGCGCATTTCATTCTATCTCCTCAAATGTCAATGCTGAAAGGATCAAGATGCCCAAGAGGGGGGGTGAATTGGGCTAATTCTAAATTTCTTTGCAATAATTAACTCATATGGTTAGCCCAATTAACCCCTTGTGCCTAGAAGGTGTTTCTAATTGTTCTACCGTACAAAAGACTTGCACCCTAAGTTCCAATCCTACTCTAGCATGACAATTCTATGAATGTAAGAACAAAAATTGAATTGCTCAAAGTAAATGCTCAAAGTAAATAAAGAGAAAGGAACGCGGAGATGTTTTGCCGAGGTATCGGAGAGTCGCCACTCCCCACTAGTCCTCGTTGGAGCACCCACGCAAGGATGTTGCTCCCCCTTGATCTGCGCAAGGATCAAGTGCTCTCTACGGGTTGATTCTTTGATACTCCGTCGCGGTGAATCACCCAAAACCGCTCACAACTTGAGTTGGGTCATCCACAAGCTCTCCGGATGATCACCAAACTCTCAATCACCACCAAGTCATCTAGGTGATGGCGATCACCAAGAGTAACAAGCACGAACTCTCACTTGACCACAACAAGCCTAGGGAGAAGGGTGGATGCACACTTTGCTACTCTTGATCTTCACTAATGAGGGCTCTCTTTGGATTCTCAAATCTCAATCACCTCACTAGAACCTTGCTCTTCTTGACACTCTCTAAGGTGTTTCTCAGCTGTTGGAATGAGCAAAAGTAACTCCACACACGAGTGGAGCTTCTATTTATAACACCGGCTGAAAAACGAACCGTTATGTGCCTCTGCGGGGTGACTGGACGCTCCGATCAGTTGTCCCCGAACTCCAGTGATCACAGTGTGACCGGACGCGTCCGGTCACGATTTTCCCTCTCTAGAACCTTACTGGAGTCAACGGACGCTGGTCCTCAGCGTCCGGTCACTCTACCACTCAGCGTCCGGTCGCGCCAGACGCAATCTCCTTGGTCAAATGAATTGACCGAACCCTGCGGCCAGCGTCCGGTCGCACCAGAGCCAGCGTTCGGTCAGTATTTGACCCTCCATTCACTTCCAACTCTCGATCATATGTAAATGAAGTTTGCTCCATTGGATCTTAGGCATATGTAGGAGCTACCTAGTGCTAGTTTTAACAAGTGTGCACCACACCTAACTCACTAGACTCATCTAGGTCAAGCTACCCATCCATACCCCCCTTAATAGTATGGCCAAAGGAAAAACAAAGTTCGAAACTACTCTAAGTGTCTCTCCAACTCCAATCGACACTTAGAACTAGTCAT